GCTCATTTCTTTAAAGCATTGTAGTTAGGAGGAACTCATGGTAGCAGACTGTAGAAATTTCCCCCAACCATTCTGGCTCCTTCACCAACACATCCATAACTGTGGGTGCAAAGGATATGCCGGACCTTTCCCTTATGCTCTTTGGCTCCGTCTATGTCAGGATAATTTCCCAAAAGTCTTCTACTAGTTTAGCAATGTTAGGAGCATTAGGGTAAACAGTCCTTTGAAGCCTGACATTTCTATGTCTCATGTCATCTAATTTGTTCAGAGCAGGTCTACTAAAGACAGTGCATCAAATGGTGTGGGCTGCTGGCAGGATGTCTTGTATTCAGCTGGGATGTCTTGTATTCACCATGATGCTAGCTAGCACTGCTAATACTGGTGAAACTGAATGAATTTTAGACTATTGTAGACATGTCCTTTTTTGGCTAATGAACTTGTCAAGAATTTTAGAGACACTGTCCAGTGATGCCAAAGGAGTTTCTATCATGAGCTGCAGCTGTCTCCCCTCTAAACTGAGGAAGGAGAAAATGCTGAGTCATACATCTCCACCCTACCAAGGAGAGTGGAAAACTGCTGTGTCACCCACCTCAAATAAATTTGACCTTCAAAGTCTTAATGCTAAATCCTAAGAGTCTCATGCAAGTAGCCCGATGAAAGGCTTTTATGAACAAGAATTCCTCCCATAAGGATTTACAAACTCAGGCATTAAGGACTTGCCTGCACTGGGAATATAGTTGTAGCTACATTCATGAAGATGCATTCATGCAGTGTAGATAAATTGTACCTTTTTTAAGACAGGTAAGCTGCACTAGCAAAAGTCAGTTTTTACACTGTTACACCTTATATACAGTAGGGATTTGCATTAATGCAGCTACATCTGTGCACGAAGCCAAGTTGGGATCGGAGAGGGTGTGTCTACACTGCCCCATTATTTGGGGATAACAAGCGTTATTTCAAAATAACAATGTGAACATCTACACAGCCATTCGGTTATTTTGAAATAATTTCAAAATAACAGATGGCTTATTCTGAAATCTGTAAACCTCATTCTATAAGGAATAATGCCTATTTTGAAATAGCTATTTCAAAATAAGTCATGTGTAGACGCTCCACTGCTGCTATTTCAAAATAGCCCCTCACCAGGGCCATTCTAAATTATTCCTCTCCAGTTTCCTCTGGGGATCTAAATCGAGATAGCATGTCTACATCAGGAAGCCTGCCTTGGACTAATTTTGAGGCTTCACTGCAGTGTAGATGTGCTATTTCAAAATAACTATTCCGGAATAGCTTGTTTCGAAATAGTTGGGCATTGTAGACATACCCTTAAATGCTACTATTCTTGGATCCATTTCTTTTTTATCTATTTTGCTTTCAGGTATTTTTAAAAGAAATAAATAAAAAAGAAGCTAAACTAATCTCTGATATGCTTCCACACGAAGTCCATAAAGTTTCACCAAGGGTGATTTTGCAAAGAAACCACGCTAACTCAGCAAGGAGGCTGCATTTTCAAACACTGATACTGAGGTAGAATAAAAATTAAGATTCTTATAGGGTACGTCTACACAGCAACATTGTTTTGAAATAACTAGCGTTATTTCGAAATAACTTAGTCCGAGTCTACACAGAGGGCAGTTATTTCAAAATAATATTGAAATACGGTCAAGCTGGAGGACTACTTACTTCTGTAATCCTCATTGAATGAGGAGTAAGGGAAGTCAGAGGAAGAGTGGCCTGTTTCAAAATAAGTGCCGTGTAGATGTTCCCAATTTCAAAATAAGCTATGCAATTGACGCAGTTCAATTAAGTCACTGATGCGGCACATCTATAATATTTATTACTATTATTTATTGACGCTGTGTCTAGACTACATCCCTCTGCCGACAGAGGGATGTAAATGAGGCACTTAGAAAGTGCAAATGAAGCGAGGATTTAAATATCCTGTGCTTCATTTGCATAATCACATCATGATGTTTTTTCGAAAAAGCACCATTTTGACAGTAAAACCACGGTCTAGACACGGTTCTTTTGAAAATGGCAGGCTTTTGCGAAAGATCCTGTATACCTCAAACCTCAAAAAATGAGGTTTACAGGATCTTTAGAAAAAGCCTGTCGTTTTTGAAAGAACCACATCTAGATCACGGTTTTACTTTGGAAACGGAGCTTTTTCGAAAAAGCACCATGACGTGACTATGCAAATGAAGCATGGCATATTTAAATCCCTGCTTTATTTGCACTTTCGAAGTGCCTCATTTACATCCCTCTGCCGACAGAGGGATGTAGTCTAGAAACAGCGTAAGAGTTTGTTCGTTCTCCCTGCGGCAATACCAAAGCTTCTGTTGACTTAAGTGAGATCTGGATTGAGTCTCAAATGTACATTTTATTTATACAAGGGAACTGAATGAGTGCAGACTCTGCACCTGTAAAATTGGCACAAACCTTGGCAGAGTCTATGGCTAAGGAGAAGCAAGGGAGGAATTGCAACAGTGGAAAGCATCTGCAACTTCACCTCTGCTGGAGGCTCAGAGTCAGCCAGTTCAGCTTCAGTATCAGATAATGTAAGCTGCATAAGAAGTGTGGTTAGAGTGGGGCTGGGGGATCATTCACATCTCCTTTGAATCGCCCTCAAGAGCAGATTGTGTGGAGCAGCTTGCTGAGATTAAACCTATCTTCCCCCTTGAAAAAGTCCCAAGGCAAAGCATGTGGCAATGTTACCGTTTGCCCTTCCTAGGTGAATCATGCCAGGAGGGAGTTAAATTGGCTTGATATGTGCAATGCAGGTGAGGTAATGCTACTAAGAGAACAGTGTCTTTTGGACAACCTAATGCTGTGTTCATATGCTTAAATGTAGCTAGTCATTAAGCATTTCTGCACTTAGCCCTCTGCAATTTCCCTAGAATCACTACAGTAAGGTATCAGTGCAATTGAAATGTGCTATGACAGATCTATGCAGTGGAAGTCACCCAATCTGAACAGAAACACAGACACCATTTAATACACTTCAAGATTCTTGAAGGATAAAGTGCCTAAATCGGGGTGAGGTGTGTTTTATTTCAAGGGAAGAGGAAGTCAATTTAATGAGATAGAAGCTAAAATAAGTTAACAGTGGAGTTTCTTTTTTACATTCTCAGAAACCAATTCTGTATTTTAAAATTCCTTCAAAGCCTTCACACACTTATCATTTGAAAACCTTATTTGCTCAGAGGACTGTATCTACCAGCCCAATGCTTTACCAGCAGCAGTCCTACGAAACTGATATCTACAGCATTCGCCTTTGTTCATGTTAGCAGTTAAATAAGTGGGTGTGGTTAATTCTGATGTCTTTTTCTAACTGAAGACTGGGGAAAACATCTGCTTTTTAATGTAAACCATCTGCTATTACCAGACACAGAGTCAAGCATTTTAACACAGCATATTCCTCAGAATTACACTTGCTGAACAGAACAGTTGTACAGATTTCCCTCCCAATGTTCTCATCACACAACAACTCAGGGATTTTCCCTTGCACCTTATTTGGGATTGATCAGTGCAATTATTTTGTAAAGGTCTTTGTCACTGAATTCAAAATAACTAGAAACAATAATTATTATTATTTAGGATTCAACTTGTAATCTTCCAGCTGAGATGCTGCCTTAGCTTTGCACAGATACAGGTGCAGAGAAAGTAAAAAATTGTTTTTATGCAGTTGTGTGTGTAGAGAGGGTGGGGGTGGGCAAGAGGTTGCTGAGCTAGTTCATTACTATTTGACATGTGAAATACTCATTTAAATGCTTAGCATTGTTGCAAAAGCTTCCCTGCTGAGTTTTACAGAGGTCAGGAATTTGCAAGCATTAGAGTATTAGGAAGAGTGAGGGAGGTTTTTCTTTCCTTACCCAACATTGACATTTCAAGCCCAGCAGGGCCATGACATATCAGACTTAAAGTCATGACAGTTTTACACTTGCAAATCCCTGTCACTGATGAAAGTCTGCATCTTGTCAACTCTAGCCCTCAGGAAGGTGTGAATCTTTTGATGGTGCAAAGAGGAAACCTTTTTGTATTAAGTTCACTTTTTAAAACTGGCAGTGGGTTAGAGTGGCTTATGCTTTGCAATATTAGAATAAATATTGATGGAAAGGAAGTAATATGAAAAGAGCAGGTGAGGCAGTCAAATATTCATGATAAATTAATTTATCACATGGCTCTGCAATTTTCTCAAATGCATCCAGACACTGCAGTAGCCCCTTATAACAGAAGTCAATCTGACAAATTACTTGGTTAATGGAGGTGATCTAATGTGGAATAATACTCATTGGGTTTTGGGATACTGTATGTCAGGGGTGGCTAATATGCGGCTCCTTACATTGGTACCAAATCCAGGGCTAGATTTACAGGTGCCAACTTTCCTCTGGACTGGAGGGTGCTCAGTGTTCAACTCCCAGGTTTGCCCTAGGCACTGTCCCCCTCCACCCTTTCTCCTTAGGATCCTGCCACTTCCTACCCTCTTCACCGAGCCTGTCACTCCCATGCTTCCCCCCTCCAGTGTCTCCAACTGAGAGAAAGCTGATCCCAGTGGGCAGGAGGAAAAGGCACTGACTGGTAGGGCTGCCAGTGGGCAGGATATGCTGAGAGCGGTGTTGGGGAGATGATTAGGGCTGGTGACATAGAACTGTTTCTCTTTGGCAACGTGCATTGGTAAATTCTGGCTCCTTCTCAGGTTTAGGTTGGCCACCCCTGCTGTAAGTGACCTCTTTAGACAAAAGGTTGCCTAATCAGGATTGTTGCTACGGGTGAAAACCGAACAAATTACTGCCTGAATCAAGAGCTGTTCTTGGGTCACGACTCCGCACTTGCAGCAGATCCAGAGGACATTGGGATAGAGGGATTTTGAATGGCACTCCACCGTGCTCTAGTTTGTCTTACTGCTAAACCCAAGGAAATTTCCTGAACTGTTCTCTTGCTCCCTGGTTATATGTGTTTCCTTCTCTTTTAGCTTATTGGTCTCAGCAACCTGTCTCTTCATGGGAGCCCTTTTATAATCCCTTGAGCAGAAACAAGTACATCTGAAGAGAGAGGGAGAGGATCACAAACATGAAGAACAGGTCTGTGCATCCTGCCCATGTACAACTGCATTGGCACTTTGTGCTCTCTAGTACACAATGAGAGGCAGGGAGGGAACCATACTGAAATGAGAGAGGAAGAAAAGGGGAATGGGAGGCAACAATTAAACACACAGTAGAATGAGAGATAGGAGTCAGACTCTTCAGGCCAGCACAACCCTAGAAGTTCTTCTGCACTGGGGCCTGGAGTCTCAGAGTACAGTTGAGTGAATTCTTTTATTCTCATTATTTGTATAGGTTTTGATTTCTCAGATGCAAAGAGCAATATATGGATATTTCCGTCTTGATTAACTTTTATTTCCGATTAAAACCAATGAACCCCTAAAGTCTGAGGGATGGAGCGTGTGAGAGGAAGAAAAGAGTTTCACTGTGTAATAGTCTGCATCTAACCTGAAAAACCAACTGCCAGTTGCTTCCTAGCTACCTCAGCAACAGTCAGGCAAGACTCCTGTACATTTTAAAGGTGTTGTATACAAACAAACGAATGACCACATCTTCTTTCAATGATATAGCTATACTACATACACACAAGTTATGCTAGAAAAACATTATTAAGATTGTAAAATCAAGCACTCAAAAGTTAGAAATGCCAGAATTCAGGTTTCCCTGCTTTAATTTGGCCCCCTTGTACATGTTCCTGCAATGCAAAAACAAAGAAAAAAGAAATAGGTGTTAATGCAATATACTCTAGGAAAACACTGGAAATGGTTACTTGACTCTAAGGGCTTGTCTATACAGAGTAGCTATGGGGAAATAATTTCTAAAGTTCACTAATATGTTGCACATTAATTGGTCCATGTAGACCCTATTGGTAAGCCTAACTGTTCTCTAGTGCACTTCGACATAGTATTGTTTAAAACTGTACTATGTTAAAGAGCACTTTGGAATATTAAAAGAGATTATTCATTATATTATACACTGCTGTAATGAGTAACGAATATAACATACATTACTCATTGCTGTATATAGAAAAAGAAAAATGTGGAAAATCTAAATTATTTGGACCTCTACATAAAACCCTAATATTGATAAAAAGAAACCCCAAAAATGAAATGAATAACTCCCCCCTTTCTAAAGAAGCCCAACTTCTAACAAGGCCAAATTTGGGCAAAGGGCACATCCCTGACAGAAAGATCGGGTGGGGGGGGGGGGGGGGGAGAAGAGGAGGAGGGGGCAGGTTGCAAAAGCACTTGAAAGAAAAGGAAACAGAAGATTCTGAACATGGGCAAAACGACATATTTCCTTCCCTCGTTCTTTATTTAATGGCTGAACATTTTTGGCTGAAAAATTCAACACAAATATGTTCAGTGTCAGGCAGATTGCATTAACTGACCCAGGCAGCAAGGTTTGGGCTGCCAGCCTTAGGTGGTGGGGCTGACAACCAGAGTCCCATCTTATGGGAAACTAACATATTTTCATGTTTCTTATTCCAGATATGCCAGATATTTTGACAGTGAACACAGTCACAAATATGTTCTATGTTTGAAACAGGAAATAATATTTTCATTCCTTGTTAATTATGAAAAACAGTCTGAGCAATAGTGGCAGAACATTCAAATGAAGAGCTAGAAGTTCCACAGAGAGGTTGTTTATATATAGAAATATTTATTTTGATTTTCTTAAATAAACTTAACAAATGATGAGAAAAACTTTGTTTCAGCAAACCTATGCAATGGAATTCTATTCTGTTGATCCTGGTTTGTCATGATCATTTGGCTATTTGGATCTAATCTGACCTTTTAAAAGCAGATTCATACTGGATTTGCACTTCACTCATACCAATTTTCAGTTTTAAGAGTCAGAGTGAAAATGATTTAATTGGTACAGAATTTCAAAGAGAATCTAAAAGGGATTTAAACACATGCTCAACGTTAAGCACCTAATTGAGAAATCAGGCATTCTGGACTAGAACTCTGTTATTTCCCAACTCTGTCACAGGCTTTCTGTGTGACCTTCATTTGCATTCAGATTTTCAGAAGTGTCCACTAGTTAATGGTACATACATTTTTTGGCTGTCCAGCTTGAGTCACCTTGGATATTTAAAATTGAGTATGCAAAGTCAGGGGACACTTTGAATCTTTTAACCTTAATCCCTCAATGCCTCTATTTCCCATCAGTAAAACAGAGTAATTAAACTTCTCTCTCTCACAGGTGTGGTATGATAAACTAATTATTCTATGTGAAGTGCTCAAATGATGAAGTTATAAGTTCCACTGATGATCATATACACTTATTTAAATATACAGTTCACTGGATTTAAAGGATCGTTAACCTTCAGTAGTTAGTCTTCAGTATTTTTTAATATTACTATTTAAAAAGGTAAATATTGCTAATGGCCTATGCTGAGTTATTTATCTTTGAATAATTCTGGAATCAAAATGTAGATGGATTTTACTATCAGAGTTTTTAAAATATACATAGAAAAATATTAATGTTAAAATTCTATATAACTCTTATTTTTGTTCAGACTCAGAAACATTAATGTTTTCAAAAAGAATCAGGGTATTATATAAAAATCTCTGTTAAAACTACACATCTAACAAAATATGGGCTCAAATGTATGAAACTTACATAGGTAAATAACCTTCAATAGTACTACTCACATGAATAAAGTTACTCATTTCCATGCTTGCAGAATCAGGTCCCATACTGGGAATATATTCCCAAGTGCATTCATGGCCAAATCCTGTATTTCTCAAACAATCAAAATTCCTATTGAAGTCAGGAGGGGTTCAGCCTGAGGAAGATGACAGCACGATCCTTCAGTCCTTGGGCCGAAGAAAATGAGAGAATATTCAGCCTTATCCACTACTTCCTTATGCATCTGTAGGATGACCGTATATCTTAAAGTATAACCAAGACAGCCTCGGCTTGTCCAACTGTCCCTCCTTTTCCCACAGGAGTTACCAAAACCACCCCCCACCCCCATGAGACCTGTGGCTGTCCTCCCTTCCCCCTAGCCCAAGGCCCATGCCGCCTACAGCTGGGGATGACAGAGCTCCCTGAAACTTTTCAGCAGCACAACCACTCTCCGACCGGATGCTTTATGTCTGTGGGAAATGCTGCCATGTATCACAAACACAACCTTCCATGAGGGCTGCTTGACTAAAGAATTGAGCTTTGAATGTCTAAATAAGAAAATACCAAACAGTATTTCATAATTTATATTTCCCGAACTCTGTTATTTACATGAAAGGCCAGTGGGAACTGGGTTTCTTCTGCACTGCAGAAAGTACACCATTTGTTATAGCTTCCCTAAAACTCAACAAAGAGATGTTGAAACTGCAACTTACAGAGATACCACACATGGGATGCCTGCTGACTTCACAAGATTTGTGACCAGATTCAGAAAAGGTGAGACCAATACAGCAAATGCCAACCCTTCAAACACCAGTTCCTGCAACGACTACTAGGATTTGTAAAGAAACTGGCCAAAATTCTTCCTTGTTTCTCAGGGGTATGTGAGCCTCTTAGACACTTACAGCATACACGTGCAGTGTGGACTTGGCTACACCAGTAACATGCAGTCCTCAAATACATTTAAGTGCACCACAATTTTGTGCTAAAATATTATGATGTGAAAGAAACAGTTACTACAGGGCTATTCAATATGCGGCCTGTAGGTCGCATGCGGCCCATGACCCGTTTGTTTGTGGCCCACGGTGTGGTTTGAATTTCCACGGGGCTTGATACGTGCTCCGCGGGTGGGAAGCTTTGAACACACTCCACAATGGCGAGGCATCTCCTAGGCGGGGTGAGCACTGAAAGACTCAAGCAGATGGTCTGGCTGGAACAGACAGGTACAGGGTGTCGGTGTTTCTAGCTCCCAGGGAGGAGGTGCCGGGAACACCGGGACATTGTGGGAAGTGCTGGCTGCTTAGCTTTGTAGGCAGAGCCTGAGAGGTGCTGATTGGCTCACTCCTGGCCACGTTTGAGTACGGTGCCACGGCTTAAAGCTAATCTTTGTATTCATGCTCCTCAGTCTGAAAGAAGCTATTTGCATACATATTTGCATTTATATGCAACCACACTTAAGTTGTGGCCCTTGGCATGTACTGTGAGTATTGTTGTAGCCCCGGGGCTTCCAAAGGTGAGTAGCCCTGAGTAACTATATAGTGTAATGCCAGTGAAACTGGACTCTGAGCAGTTGTGCAAAAAACACAATAAGTCTTTGCATGAAAGTCCTTATCTCTGACAGAATGACAATATGCTCAAGTTGAAAGAAAATGTCTAGCAATACTACTTGCCTGTGAAAAAAATAATTAGCACATATCAGGTCAAAAATCCATACATATTGAAATGATCATAAGCCACATGAAGTCATTTTCAAGAAATTACTGCTATCAGCACTAAAACACCTCCAATATATGCTATTAAACTACAACATTACCACTTAGATGTATGCTATACATCCTACCTGTATAGGAACCAAAATGTATATGGAAGATTTCGTCCCCTGAGAAGCTCTGCCTCCAGAAGTAAGATACAAGCGAACAAAAAATCCTTAACCTAATTAAGGGAAACACAAACACAAAAAGAAACTACGTATTAATCAAGCCAGCTACATTCATATTTCTCAGCTAGGACTGTAGAAAGTCCCTGAGCATACACTACAGAATAAAGAACTACGGTTTCTGACAGCTGTTATTTTAACAGGATTGCTAGACACACACAAGGCTCTCAAGGCATTTTTGAATATTGGCATTCTTGTGATGAAATTCAGTGTGAAGGACAATGTACTCAAAGGCAACCAAATACCTAGAGCCTTAAGAAAAGAGACCCTATCCCAAATACACCACAACCATTCTGGTACTGTATAGAAGTGGTTCTATGAAAAGCTAGAGATGTAGGATTGTGATGGGATCCCTGGGCTACAACCTGGAATAGGAGTACAGTTGTGCCCCCTGAACACTCCAGGTTGGGCTCTCTCTCAAAATACTTTGCTAGCAACAAGCAGCAACCCCCAACAGGGGCTATTGTCACTCAGTACGGGTGAGTCTACACAGCATCCAAAACTCGAAATAAGCTGCGCAAATTGCGTACTTATTTCGGAATAGCTAATTTCATCATTTGGCGCTATCTACGGATTTTGAAATAAAGCACTATTTTGGGCCACTCCTTACTCCTCGTAGAATGATGGCGAAATAGCGTGCCCGCTATATTTCAAAATAGCAGACACATTTCAAAGACATGGGGCAACTATTTCAGAATACCTCTGGTATCCCAAAATAACTTTGCTTTGTAGACAGACCCCATGACAGCATGTGGAGCCTCTTGCCCAACTTAATTGCATGGATGCTCCCTGATGCACTCACAAATCACTAAGAGGACGTCTACACTGCATGGCTATTTTGAAATAAGCTATTATGTCTACACTGCAGGGAAGCCTCAAAATTCGTCTGAGGCAGGCTTCCCTAATGTAAATGTGATATCTCCATTTAGAGCCCCAGGAGGCACGGGGGAGGAATAACTTAGAATGGCCCTGGTGAGGGGTTATTTCAAAATATCAGCAGTGGAGCATCTACATATGCCTTTTTTCAAAATAGCTATTTCAGAATAGGCGTTATTCCTCATAGAATGAGGTTCACAGATCTCAGAATAAGCCGTCCGTTATTTCAAAATTATTTCGACATGACAGAATGGCTGTATAGATGCTTATGTTGTTATTTCAAAATAATGCTAGTTATCTCAAAATAACAGTGCAGTGTAGATGCACACAAAGAAAAAGGCACCAGCAAATCTCCCATGGCCCCAGCTTTATACTCAGGACTATACTGTCCTGTCCTGGTCAGAAATTTGTCTGCCACTCCCTCAATGTGAAGAGGACACACACTAGCCTTTGTAACCTTAAGTGACTACAGCGTGTAGTCAACCTGTGGAACTCCTTGCCAGAAGAGGCTGTGAAGGCTAGGACTATAATAGAGTTTAAAGAGAAGCTAGATAATTTCATGGAGGGTAGGTCCATAAAAGGCTATTAGCCAGGGGATAAAATGGTGTCCTTGGCCTCTGTTTGTCAGAGGCTGGAGAGGGATGGCAGGAGACAAATCACTTGATCATTGTCTTCGGTCCACCCTCTCTAGGGCACCTGGTGTTGGCCACTGTCAGCAGACAGGATACTGGGCTAGATGGACCTTTGGTCTGACCCAGTACGGCCGTTCTTATGACTTGATAAGGGACTGCAGTGCATGTGCAGATTTCCAAGCAAGTCAACAAAAGGCAACTTTGAAGATATGTAGCATTCCTCACTGATCCTGGAGCAAGGTGACTATGGACCTCAGCACTGCTGACTACTGATCTTGACTTTTCGGAGTTAGATGAACTATCAAACTCTACTGCAGCAACAATAGAGAAAAAGCAACAGAAAACTTTAATAGGAATGGCATACTGGATTGTATTATCTCTGATAATGGACCACGATTCACCAGCAAGGAATTTGCTAAAGATTGGATATTTAACCACATTACAAGCTCCTCTAGCCTCTGTTTCTCTGGAGGAGGGACAGGGGAGGGATCACATGAGGATTACCTGTTATGATCCCTCCCTTTGGAGCATCTGGTATAGGCCACTGTTGGCAGACAGGATACGGGGCTAGATGGACATTTGGTCTTACCCAGTATGGCCGTTCTTATGTTCTCTACATTACAACAGTCAGTTCAATGGCAAAACTGAATCATCCATCAAAATTGCAAAAATTATCTTAGGCTGTGTCTACACTGCCGTTTGGTGCAAAAAATATGCAAATGAACTGAAGCATGGAATATCACCACATCTCATTTGCATAATTAATGAGGCTCTGTTTTTGCGCAAGAGGCTTTTGCAGTGTAGACACAGCTTTAAAGAATATGGAAAACAAGTGGCAAGTTATCCTAAAATGAAGAAATACCCCCACTGATGGCATGACCAGCAGCTGCTCTCTAGAAGCTTTAATATCCAGGTGCACATGCACATTGGTACTTACAGTCAATGTGCTATTATGTCCTGAAGTAATGGAAGGAGTCACAACTCAGAGAAACAAAGCTAAAACTAGGCCAGAGCCTTTCCAGAGCTACAATGTGAAGAAACAGTTCAGAGTGTGATTATTTCCTTAAACCAGATTCTGCAGATGAAAACAGGCAACATGTGTGGAAATAGATAAACATCCATTCCCATATTATTGTGGTTGATGAACATACATATAATTGGAACAGTAAATTAATCTGTCCAATACAGTTTCCTATAGCTAGAGGAAACCTGATATGGGGTGAGGAGAAAGGCAAGATCCTTCTAACCGTTATAATTGGATAAACTTAAAAACAACAAATAGTATGGCAGCACTTTATAGACTAACAAAACACATAGATGGCATCATGAGCTTTCATGGGCATAGCCCACTTCTTCAGATGACTGGAGTGTTGGAATTATAATTAGAATACACTGAATTCACTACCTAACAGACACATGACAGCAGTGGGACCACTAGAACATGCCATCCAGCACCATGAAAGGACTATCAAAATCAATAAGAATGACATTACAAACACATTAGCCTTTCCTGGCACCATGAAAAGTAATTGCACACAAAAAGACATCAAACCTCATGAAGTTAATGGTAAATCTTAAATACTTTAACTCTCCACAACTACATCATCAAATGTCATTGCATAAACACAGTCAAGTTCTGTTTTAATATTTGTTGTGTTCTCGTTTTATCATAGAACCACAAGGTGTTACTGAGATTTGCTGTCCTAAACAAACGTGACAAAGGGAACATTATGCAAGACAGCTTTTCACCCACAAGAGGGAGCTGCAACTAGAATTTCCAAGGACCTAAGCTGTAAAATCTTATATAACAGGATGTGGAAAACAAGTCTCCGAGGGATATGTTTGTATCTGCTAAAACCAGGAGTCGTTTGGCACCTTAAAGACTAACAGAGTGAATGCATGAGCTTAGTCCAGATCACCAAATGCATCTGTACTTTTTATTCACGAAAATTTATGCCCAAATAAATCTGTTAGCTTTTAAGGTGCCACATTGCCAAGTCCTCTCTATCAGAGCAAGAAACACAAAGCCAATTGATGGGCAAGCGTCAGCTGCAGCGGGTTTACCGCAGTGAAGATACTGCAGTAAGTAGATCTAAGTATGTCGACTTCCGCTAGATTGTTCACACATCTGAAGATGCCTTTACGTTCCTAGATTGACAGGCCAGGGCGGTGTAGACTAGAGGGCTTGTCTACACTGAACACATGCCACACGGCTGGGGCGATTGTAGACGCCACTTCTGGCGCTACCCTGAAAAAAAATCCACTTGTCCCAGAGCTGGGCGCCAGGTCAATAGGAGAATTCCTCTATCAACCAAGCGCTGTCTCCACGGGGACTTCGGTCAGGTTAACAACCCAGCTCGGAGCGGGGGTTTCACGCTCCTGACAGGTGGAGTCAAACTGAATCTAAGTTCCAAGGGTAGCCCACGCCCCAGCATTAAGCCCTGGGTGGCCGCACACATCGGCAGAGCGGTGCAGGGGGGCGCCCGTTCGCGTCCCACCAGCCGCACTTAGCGTGCGGCAGCCACCCCCGTTGGGCTGCAGGGGAATCGCGGCGTCCTCCTTCCCCGCTGCAAACTACAGAGCCCAGCATGCAACGCGCCTTCCCTTAAGGACCCGTCGCTCGGGCTCGCCCCAGCAACTTTAATGCGAGGGGACGGGCTCGGAGCAACGCATGCTGGGAGTTGTAGTTCCTGACGTGTTGGGAAGGTCTTCGCCTGCCGGGAAGAGTAGTTCTTTGGTCCCGCACTGTGTGCCAGGATTGTCTGCGCGTGCGCGGAGCCCAGGTGGTTAGAGCACCTATTGGGTTCCGGAAGGGGAGCACGCGCTCGCTGTTGAGTGTTGACTGTGAGGTCAGCACAAGGTGCCGGAAGTGTGGGCCTGGGGGGCGTGGCTGTCCCTTTCTCTCCCTGGAGCGGGAAGAGTCAATGCGCGTTGTGTCTTTCCTTCGCTGGCTCCTGGGAGCGAGTTCTGCGTTACTGTCTCTTTAAGCCCGGACAGGCGTGTGCGTTGGGCGCGCCCTGCGCGTGCGTATCGGGGCCGTGACCTCGCGCCCAGTCGGCGCGGCTCGTGACTGTTTAATTTTTTTTTTTTTGAGAAGGGGAGGGGGGGGGAGAATGAGAAAATAACAGCTCAGCTTTCGAGGCTATTATTGAGTTAGTGGCGCGAGCGTTACCATAGCGACCTTCCCCTCGGCGGCCTAGGGCCGGGACGCG